CAGTTTTGAGTTGGTAACAAAGTAAAGCCAAGATGTCTCTCGTTCTTATTTAGGAAGGAAGTTGTAATTTACAGAAAATAATAATTGACGATTTTTTTGTTTATAATTTTAATGTAATTTGACAGCAGTTATTAAACTCTATCATTTCTTCTCAACACGATCACTTGTAAAGTAGGAATAACTAAAAAAGGCGTGTCTTTGGTGTAAAAGCGGGCATTTTTATTATGCTGAAAGGAAATTAAATAACACTAGCTTTATTTACACATTACCTATTAAGGGAAATCAGTGGCAACCAAATGTGTGCGGCATTTTTTATGATCTGCTTTTGTTCGTTTTTGTTTCACTATTTTGTCTTAAAAAGCATAGCAAGAACCACTTTAAAAAAATATTATCTTCGTGTCTTATTGATTAGCTCGCAATATAGTTATCACTAAATATAGGCGTTTTGCGGTTGTGCGAAGAACTACCGTCATTTCGCAGATTTTTTTAGTATCAAAATTTTTAATATCTAAAATTATGCTCTAACATTAACCTAAAGCAAATTCGATGATGATTAAAAAAAGAGTAAATCAGCGAAGCTTTGTTCAATCGTAAAATGCCAGCGAAATTATAATGTTCTTAACGTTTTTCCAAAGATATACGTTCTGAATTTATTTTTATAGTAAAACAGGAGGAGTGCTTCGATCGACGCTGTATATATAGTTTTAATGGAATGAAAATAAAGGCATTCTTTCTGGGATTTGTTTGGTTTTCCTTTATATTCCCACCATCCTTATAATTATAGTTATAACCAAGGAACACAACATTATAACCATATTTTTAATAGTCAATTTCAATGTGTCTGGAAGTCTGTTATATTAGTATAACAGCTTCAACTTCGGAGCATTTTTCTGTCTCGAGGTTTGTTTTTGATACTTGTTAAACTATGGAGATCCGGTTTTTTAGTATTTATACCTATATTAACCGAATGTTGAGCTAATTATCAGTATCAAAATGCACAAAATAAAATATCTGATGGAAAGGGAAACTTAAGATACCTTTATGGATACTTCGTAGTTATAATGAGGAAGTATTTTAAGAAAAAAAATAAAGCACTAGAATGCACCCCGCTAGATGGCGACTCTAGCCATAGTTGATTTTGGCAGGAAACGAATGGACCAAAGGTAGTAATTTCCGTTCCTATTAACTAACATTTAAAAAACTGAAATTTGCAAAGTTCGAAACTTAGGTGACAATACAAATACGAAAAAAAAAACAAATATAATATGAGTTGTTGAGTTTTGAAAATAAGTTTACTTTTATACACAAAAGAAAACAGGAGGTGTTGTCATGGAGAAATCAAGAAAGTACCGTAGCGACATCTAGTTAGATTTCGGGAACTAAAGTTTTTTTTTAATACTTTCTCATTGGCCTACTGGTTTCAATCAAAACCGGAGTTTCAGACCTTGAGCCAGCACTGCAGCGCCACCTTGGATTTTGAAATAAATTCTTATACCCTATATTCTAGTAGAAGTAACTACTTAAGTAAAAGTCGTATCTTAAGGAAATATTTTTAATAAATAATCCAAGAATATGAACGGAGTACAGCCTCGCAAAAATTAGGATCTACGATTTTTCCAGCCGGGGCAGAAACTTGATGTTGCGCCCTTCCGCATCCTCCACATCGTAGTCTACACGATGATACTTTAATAGCGTTTCAATGATTGCATTTTCCCACTGCATTATTAACCTAACGCCAAATATAGTAAGTTCAATAATGTTTTGACGAATCAATGATGACAGATTCTTCTATCTATAGTACTAGTATTATAAAGCTGAAGAGTTTGTTTGTTTGAACGCGCTAACCTCAGGAAGTACTGGTTTGTAATGATTTTTTTTTTGTGTTGAATAGACCATTTATCAGGGAAGGGTTTAAGCTATATAACATCACGCTGCAACTATTAGGAGAGAAGAAAATGGAAAACGCGGACGAAGTCGCTGGCGGCCACTAGTTTATGATATAGTGATAAGGACTGTGTTAAACAAAATGCTATTAAATGCTACTGATTCACTATAAAATTACGTGTACGCGTACTCATCAATCTTCATTGGGGTTGCGTATATGGGCCTTTCTATTTTTGTAATTTGATTCCATAAATTTTTTACTCTTAAACATTCAGGTTTGCAATCCTCACAACAAAAATTTGACCAATTTGTATAACTAGTCTATAGTACACAGGAGTCGGCAAGTGTGGTGTAGGAAGACCTCGAGCAAAGTGGAGTAATGATTTGAGAAAGGCCGCTGGTAGGCGATGGATGGAAATGAACCAAAACAGGGAAAAACGGTGCGTATTATGGGAGGCCCATTTCCAATGCTGGACTGCTGTGGGCTGAAGTTGATGATGATATATCCAATATACAAAATACATTAAAATTACACATACAGAGTTCGCACTAAAATTCTGTTGATGTTAAATGTACATTTATCGCGGGTTAGGTTAGGTTGCAAAATAAATAAACTAACCGTTAGTTTATAATTGTATACATCAACTATAGATCTAATATAACAGAATTCTAAACAAACTCGACTTTGCAATTATAAAAGCCGTGACGAGTTTCCGTGCGTCTTAGTTCTCAAACTCCATTAATAACGTACATTTACTTTACTTTTAGTTTAAACGGGTAGTCAGAAAGCTAAATTGAACGCATTAAATACCTATCGTATTTCAAGCCTCTTATCTCGTATCTCGTATCTTAAAATCAAATAGGTATTTTGTTGCATTTTTTACTACTACACAACTTATGAAACAAAAAATAAAACTAAAACACTTTTCGACAACATAAATTACGTATAATGTCCAAAATAAATTGTTAAGTACAGTTATTTTCTCAATTTTCGGTTAGAGAACATCGTAAATAATTTTCATTTATCAAATCTTTTATTTTTCTTCCGTTTGACCTTGGACTAATTAAATATTCAACTATTAATAACATATACAAATAACAAGACCATCATTTAAAACACAAATAAATAAACTATCATATTTACTATATTTTACCTAAATTCATAATGCTTCAGTCATTTTAACTATCCCACTAGAAAAATAAATGCATATTTTAATAAAATAAATCAATTGACAAAAATAATAATGCATATTTAAGTCTAGCAATTTATAAGGCCTTCGCACATTACACTAGCCGTGATAGTTAAATCGTAATCGTCTAGAACTTCATTCATTTAATTCACTAAATGATTTACAGAGGGTTCTCGTAACCATGTCATAATTTTCTTACAAAGGCAAGTCTGCATAGTTCTTTCGGATTCAGAAGATTCTTCCATAATCTTCGTATTTTATTTAGATTTTTCTTATCTTATGGTTTCTCAACAGTTGGGAGGGAGAGAGTTTATTTTGTCTAACACAAAGTGAACGTGGTAAAAAGGGTTTAGCCGGATACGTATGACGAGTCGGCCCCCAAATGGGAATCGATATTGAAACTTATGTTTTAATATCGACTTGATGTTCAAACACGATTTATGTACTTTTCGCGACCGACTTCCGCTTTGACCTTGAGATAGAGAGCAAAATATCCGTATGCTTGACTATTACTGAATGTGATATATCTCTAAAGCTAATTAAGATAAAGAAGTGAAACTAACGCGAGGTGTTAGGTTACATTACAGAGTATATCACATATATTTTTTTATAATTTTTAGAATAAAAAATTACATTAAAAAAACAAAAAATAAAAAAAACATGTTTTTTTTTCTGAGTTCTCTGTGACTTACAATTACGAAATTAATATATATTATGCTCCTTTGTGTGCTCTATTACCCATAAAAATTGCGTGAAAAAAAAGTTGGTGCAACACGACGAAAAAAAATTATATGTGATTTCTGTCTTATGGTATACCCCTGTATTATAAGGTTTTCACATTACATCATTGTTTTGTTTTTCGAAATTTCACATCAGCTTGTTTTAAAACATAAGTAACTAGTCTTAAGAGATGGGATAATAGTTAAAAAAGAAATGAAAAAAAAAACAGCCAATGTTCAATACTTATTATTATTACTTTTTCGTGTCTATCAAAATACAAGAAACAAAATATTAATCATCGTCACTGTTGTAATTAATTACAATCGGAACACTTTGAGTCGTAAATAACTTAGTTAGGACCTCAGCAGGACGTACGATTTTGGACAAATATCATCCATATGATAGATAATAAATAATAGCTGCTACATGAGAACAGCATCCCACTGTACGTTTGCCATTGGGGCAAGCACAGCAATAACGAAGAATACTATTGTAGTTATTACCTTCGGAAATATAGTGAATGTAAATTCGATAGACTTTTCTATTTATATGTCTTGATTTTACTTCTGCTTTGATGATATTAGGTGCTGATTTCACATATTGTACTGAGAGATTATTTTGATCGTCCATTATTTCGGCCAAGTTAAATGCTGCACATTTGGATGTAGAAGCTTTTTTGTTAATATATGGGATAAGTCGACACTTCTTACAAAAAATATCATTAACTATTACGATTTTATTCAAACAGTCACTAAACACTTTAGCTTCTTCTTCATTCTTTATAATTTTTTTATAACCAGGAATCTTACACAGGTACTTGTTACAATTTTTACACTTTCTCGACATTATTACTTAATAATGATTTGGTTTGATAGTTAATAATTTCAAAATGCTGATACAAAATACTTATGACAAAATTTGAGTCCCAAACTGCCTTCTTGTGTAATACAAATGACTGCTACTTTAGCTAAACAAACGATGCAGTAAACAGCTCGATAACAAGTTCGAACTTGTTTGTTTATACACTCACACTACAAGGCGCGAATCACATATAATTTTTTTTCGTTGTGTTGCACCAACTTTTTTTTCACGCAATTTTTATGGGTGATAGAGCACACAAAAGAGCATAACATATATTAATTTCGTGATTGTAAGTCACAGAGAACTCAGAAAAAAAAACATGTTTTTTTTTATTTTTATTTTTTTAATGTAATTTTTTATTCTAAAAATTATAAAAAAATATATGTGATATACTCTGTAATGTAACCTAATACCTCGCGTTAGTTTCACTTCTTTATCTTAATTAGCTTCAGAGATATATCACATTCAGTAATAGTCAAGCATACGGATATTTTGCTCTCTATCTCAAGGTCAAAGCGGAAGTCGATCGCGAAAAGTACATAAATCGTGTTTGAACATCAAGTCTATATTAAAACATAAGTTTCAATATCGATTCCCATTTGGGGGCCGACTCGTCATACGTATCCGGCTAAACCCTTTGGCACAAATCGCTTTACATATAAATTCATGACGCGTCGCCTCGTTCAGTAGCGTAGTGTGGACTAATCAAAACGTGGGAAGAACGTATTTTTCATCATCTGCTTTTAAAATCTACGCAATAGATATTTCTTGCAATGTTTTACGTACATACATTTAATTATTGTGATTATATTATCTTTCCGATTATTTTATATTCCTTACAGAGTAAGGCCGATTTTAGCGCGAGATTTGGTTGAAGGGCCATATCGGGCGCCTGCGCTTAGGTAGTCCACTGAATCGTTGACGCTGAGAGATTTCGGTCTTGGAACGATATTGGATTGATAGTACCGTCAATTCAAAAACTGGGAGTGGTCTGACGGAATAATTTCCGGAATAAACGTCTCGTTCGGAGTGCCCCATGAAAATAGCAGCAATTTTTTATTAATACAACATTATAGACCATCTATGATAAGATCTAGCCACTTGGAATTGGTGTATTATGCGATGACCTTTTACAAACTATTTACGTAAAACATAATAAAATATACACTGATAGCATTAGCTGGTCTAGAAGCAGAAGAAAAACGTCTTCTACTTAAGTTCTAGAGCTGTTAGAAACATTAAAGTAATAGTAAAAATTTATAAATAACTGTCAAATTTTCAAGATTTATAACGCGTCAATGTACGTTAAATATATGCTGTTCGGGATCCTACTTCGGGCAATGATGGGTATAACGCTATATTACGTTTTAATAAACAATTGAAATAAAAAAATTCTAACAATAATACTTAAAAATAAAAACATATTTGAATCATTACATATTGCATTTTCTTTTTTGTCAATCAATCACTCAATTCAACATTTTAAAATTGATTTAAAACTTTGGAATGCCAATTGTCTATTGACGTTTATTATGAGAAACGACACAAACTTAAAAAACACATAGGTATATTTAAAACATCCCTGTATTTTGACATACGCTTATTAGTGCATTAAAAAAAATATACGAATTGATAAAAAGAAATTATATTTTTTTGTTAAGTTCTAAGTAATAAGTTCGCTTTTAGTGCCATTGAAAGTTTACAGTACTTAACTATTCAAGTTTTGTAAGAATTCAAAAAGTATATTTACACGAGCACATTTCTTTCTTTGTACGACGAAATTATAGTCTATAGGAGAGATTACATTATATTAACTAGCTTTCCGCCAGTGGCTTCATCCGTGTGGTCCTGTGTTGTCCTTCATCTTAAATCACTATGTATGTTGATAAAAATTTGTTGTGTAGTTTAAAAGATTTTGTTTTATACTATGTATTAACGAACACAAGATTACAAGCCACCTGCCTTTCTATAGTCTGATTTGTCTATGATATATATATAAATAGGTCAAGATGAGAACCCTCATTGCTATGATTCCAAACTAAATAAACAACGAAGATATCACAACATTTAACTCGCCTTTGAAACGAATTTGAATGACCAAGAAACATAAAAAAAAACTTAGTTAAACCCTTCGAAAGATTGTTGTTAGCATTGAACCCTTTCGTTTAACATTCAACATCACATGTCAAACAGTCGTAGCGTAAAGTTCGTGAATACCTTTCAAATGTCGAACGAATTGCGATAAATTTTAAAATTAGATAATCAGGTTCCTGGGATCTCTGAAAGGCTACGGAGGTCTTCATTGAAATGTTAAGAAAGTACATGCGGCTTATTACATTTGACATTCAGTGACCGCTTTAATGAACCTTGAGATTTTGCTGTTTTTTCTATGTACACTCAATATTTAACAATCTTTGATCGTTAGTCACGAATACCTATTTAATATATAATGGAGAAAGACAGTTTTGTTGATTGTACTTAAGGTAAACTATTTAGCTGCTTTTCTAAGCCATGAAAGTCGATTGAAAAAAAGAGTTAAATTACTCTTTATGTAAATAAATGATATTGACTTGAAACTTTGGTGTGCAACCTTGTGTTATTTAAAACTGAACTCAATCCTACAGGTTGGACGTTTCATTTATATGAAACCGATAAAAATATGCACATTTCTCTAGTTTTAACCGTAATCTAAGCCGTTGGTTGCCGTCAATTATCCGTGGTTGAGTGCGTGGCCATAGACAAAGACGCGTCATTTCTTCTTTTTCATCTGTTTCGCTTTCTTTTTCTCTTCTCGCTTCTTCTCTTTCTCTTTTATCGATTTATAGAGTTTGTAGCCGAAGAATACTGAAAACGGAAAAAAAGAGATTTGTAATAATACATTAAATTTAAACACACTTTTTATAGGAACCTAGACGTTTACCCGCGACTTCGCCCGCGTAAATTCTAACCTATGTCACCCGCCTATGATGTAGCTTCCCGTATGTGAAACAATTTTTAAAATCTGTCCAGCAGTTCGTAGTATATTCAATGCAAACAAACAATCAGGTCTATTCATAATATTAGTATAGATTACACAAGGATACTAATATGAAAAAGAGACACCCAAAAATGAGATACTTCTAAAAACCTTTTATTACATTAATTTAATAAATAATTAACGTAGTGTTTACATTACTTAGTATAAGCGGTAATACATTAAATAGGTATAATGTTATCAAAATAAATTTTCCTTCGATGATATATTATCTAATCTTAAAAACTAACCAAAATCAGTTCTCTACTAATTTAGTGTTGATAATGCGATGTCCAATTTATGAATCAGAATCGATTTTGCAATCCTTTGATAATATTTATACATCTGACATCAAAGACATTTTTGATACAATTTTATTAAAACTTAACTCTTAATGAATTATTGTTTAATGTCTATTGATGACAATTGACAGTATATTCAGGACCAGCGTAACTGTAACTCTGATCTGCCAAAGTGTACCCCCGATTGATCTGGTTGGCTGCCAGACCAACCAACGGTCTCCCAGACAGACCGTTATTTGAATGGCCAGCAACGTGATATTGGCGGAATAGAGATGACGAATGGGTTAAAAAAACGAAATTCTATTTAGACCGTCAGTAAGATAATAGAAAAATATGAGATAGATTTTTTTTTATTAAATTTAACGTGAAATAGCTTAGATGATAGGCGTTAGAGTTGAGGAGTTGGGGCTCGGGACGTCACAGTTTTGTAGAAACGTACAACAGCGTGACGTCATGTGATATTTTAACTCAATTCATCTCTGTAATTTAATGATTACGAAAAAAATAAAAAAATGCTTGTATTATATTTATCAACAATCTACCTGACGGACAAACAAAGAAAATAGACGTCATCCCTATTGAAAAATGAGAAAGGTACTCTCTACGTCACAACTATGTAGAATAATGAAACAGAAGGCCGTGATCGTTTGCGACAGTTGCAACTCGGTATATCGTCCAGTAAGGTATTAATGACGCACAATAATTGCTACGAATGAAGTCGTCAATATTTGTACCTGACCGACAGACACAAATAAATAGTCATCAACCCTAATGTAGAAACGCGCCAATAAGGACCATAAATAAAAATAGAAGCAACTGGCTATTTGACAGATAAATCATAGCGTCAGTTACGCGGTGGAACGAACCTGCTGGATGTCTGTAAGCAGCTTATTAATTTTTTACTGGGTTTCTCTAAAAAGCTTGCAATCAATAAATATGCAAAGAAAATTTATATTGGGGTGCATTGTTTATCATATAAGGGATTAAAAAACGATAGAGAATGTGAGTTAGACGTAAGCTGGGTGTCGAAACATCATTGAAGCATCCTATCGATACAGATAACCCAGTTATAAACATATATTTTGTTATACTGCTTCATACCTATATATTATTCAAAAGTTGCAACACTTGCTGTTATCGATTCAGTTTGGCGAAGGTTTGTAACTAAGTTAGCCCGACGACTACGCTCGGGTTCTCGGGTACTACTTTCACATAATTATATGTCCTGGTCCTCAAATCTGATAATTTTTACGTAATAATAGCATCAACTACTTGAAATTTCTTATTGTATTATCAACCTGAAGTCTAATATTTTTAGTGCAATGTAATCCTCACAAATTAATGGTGACACTGACTGATACATTTAATAATTTGCTATCTAGTAACAAGAAATGTGTCATAGAGGGGACCGCCTAATAATCTAGTTATAGGATACGACATCTTAGCGATATTTCATGTTACTACTTTGACATGTAACCTACTTTAGTAACGTCGAACGCACGATAAAGGTTGATGTTTATGGATTTGATAGTAGTGTTACCGACTTAATTATTTATCCCAAATTTAATTACTAAACGATATGTCAAAGTGTAAATTGAAATATCCTATAGCTAGAATCAAGACGAGTGAGTTAGGTGGGCGCGTCCCTGTTCGAGGCTGTTTTTTAACAGAATAACATAACAGGGGGTATAGTAGAAGCTATATTCTGAACCCTGACGGTAATGTGTGTAAGCAAAAAATTGAAACATTATATCTATAATCTTATTCAAACTGTAGATTGTAAGTGTAAATAATATAAGGAAATCAAAAATTAAAACTGGACATACCAGTTATACAAGGTGGAACTTTTGTGAAATTTCCCCTATAGTATAAAATAGAATCATATATCGAGTGTGTCCAGTCAACAGCATGTCAAGCTATACAAAGTCAAATTTCTGTACTTGATTTTAATTTTAGTATATTCAGAGTAGAGTTCAGAATCAGTTGCAGGGCTTGTGGTAGCTTGACGAGCAGCCGTGTGTTATTACAATTACAGCATTTTCTTCTAGTAATTTTGAAGGGAATTTTGCAATTTATTTTGTCGATAAAATTGTCTATATTCACTTTTTCCCTCACCGTAACATGTCATGATTCTATTATATACAGACAGCTGCACGTTCGGTTACAACAATTTGTCTTTCTGCAATAGAGTATAACTTCTGCCTTTGACGTATTAAGGTTCAAAAACGAGTGGGGAAATTTGACAGGTATTGTACCTAGTTATTTACATTTTGGCCTAATACATCCACAAAGATATTAAGTAGCTATCGATTACAAATCATTTCTTGATCTCTGTTTTCTTGATGTTAAGAATTTATTGTATTTCAAACTGTCTTCGTGTGTTATAAACACTATTTGTTTTGTCTCTGAAAAAATCGCATCAGTTTAGGAAATTCTTATACAGCGAAACATACATATTCTAAACGTTAACATACCTAAAAGCGCAATAAAAATGAATACGATCACACCAACGATTATCAGCTGATTCACTACTGCCTCCTTGATAGCAACCTCCAACGCGTCCGTATTCAAAACATTCGGATCGTCCAGTTTCATAGACAATTTCGTCGCTAAACCTTCTTTTATTTGTTTCATAAACGTCTGCTGGTCCTCCTCACTCATTTGATTGTATTTATCTAAAACACCCTTCAACTTCTCTCTGATTTCCTCCGACTCCTCATCTTCAGGTGTCGTGGCTACCATCTTTTGCAATACAGTCAATACATCCATGTTTTTTATTGACTCCACTATTTTTTCCTTTATCACCCCACCGACAGACATTGTTGGCGGCAATTCTTCCTCGGCCATTTTCCGTGTTTGAGCGGGAAACTTTTTTTTTTATATTTAATAACGCGTGGCGAATGCAGCGTCCGGTATACAGCCGATGCGCATGCGATGCGTATCACACTGAATGCAATTTGAAAATAGAATCTTTAAAGGCCAGTATACGTGAGCGAATATAGAAATCGAACAAAACAACTTTAGTATAATCTAGAAATTGATAAACCGTCGTTTAAAGAATTTAAACCTACCGTGATTGTCTTGAAGTAGATAAACGTCTTTACTAAGTGTCGATAAAACTGACCTATTTAATAATATAATACAAATATGTGTTAATAACAGCGAATAAATTGATAAGTGTTAACAATCAGAATATTATAAAAAAAATATAAAAATCACCGTTACAAAATTTGAGTAACATTTAGGAAAATGTGGTTAGAGGTTCCTTTTACTGCTCTTGTTCCTCTGTGTTAGATATGTTAGTTTTAGAAAAATAAATGTTATTTTAAGAGATTTTATATTTTTTTGTAAATCGAACACAATTATTGAATTATTAAAATATTATTATTAATCAATTTCGATAGGACTGCTTGCTTACCACGAGTTATTAAATAAACACCTATAAATAAACTGAAGTAGGTCCACCACCTAATATGTTATCTTAACGACACGTTCATATCTGTACTTACGTAATTTTAAATACAGTATTACATATCATTATCATAAATTATATATCACACAAACTATTAATCCTCATCGAAACAAGAGAAACAAACGAATATTAGAATTGTTTCTTTGAAAACATAAACGGTCTTAATATAAAACGAGGATTTACGTGGTTTAAACCATTGTCCTACCAAAATTAGTTATTAAGTTTAAACTTAAGTCTGCTCTTCTAAATTTATTATAGGCAGCCAATGGTTTAAACCTTTTTGGTGTGAAAAATTGCACACCAATACGCGCCTTTTTTATAGTGAAATTCTTATGAACGGATTTTTTTAAAGGGAAATGCTTTAAGCACAGTTCCTGCCGTCTGGCGAGCGACGTGGGTAGTGTGTGGGCCTCTGGTCCGTCACCGGAGGCTCACACACCAAAATCTCTACGGTGTACTCTCTCCTGGACACCAATTATCGCCATAATGCGCATAATCGTCAGATTTTTAATGTTATCTGTCATAGATATGCAAAACATAAACAAAAATTGTGCTAGAAGCTTTAGTGCCCTTTAAAATTTTGCTCGAATGCTTGCTTGCGTTGCTGTGGCACAGTTATTATAATATAGTGATAAATAATTGAGATTAAAACTATTCTATCTTTCAAGTTAGATCGAATTATTAATATCCACATGTGAAATTTTATTAGAATCGGTTCAGTAGTTTCATAGATTATCAAACACATAATTTTATACTAAACGTCATATAATATCATCATCAGCCGTAAAAATCTATTTAGTCTAAATAAATTATATTATTAATTACAGACCATCTTTCATTAGCTCACACTCATAGTTATCATTTTTACAATACTTATTTATACTATGTCCATTTTTTCTAGTTTTAATAATTACTATTTATGTTTTATTTTTAAATACATAATAGCCAAAATGGTTAAGCCAATTTAAAATGGAATAAAGTCGTTACCCGCTGTCTGTCTTTTTCACTACGCAAAGATTATCATTGATATTACAGAGTAATTGAAGAGGAAAAATTATATGAATAATATGGGACCATGCGGGCGAAGTCGGTGGCGGAAAGCTAGTATTATTATAAACAGGAAATATTAGTTTGTTTATTTATATTGAACTGGCTTCTAAATTACTGTACTGGATTAATTTTAAAAATTTCATTTACGGGAAGCTTCATCATACGCGGGTGACATAGGCTATTATTTACGCGGACAAAGACACAGGAAAACAGTTAGTTTGAAGAATAAAAACCTATTGTCTTTGACACAGAGAGCATTAGAACCGTGTCCATTACCTAATCGGTCGATAGTTTTACCATTTGTACGATTTGAGACGGTCGAATTTCTCAATATTTGTAACTATCATTGTTCGCGAGCTTGTTTCCGAATGAGGGAGCGTAAAGCCAATATCTGTATCTTTATAACCCTGTATTGAGATATTATAACCCTGTATGTGTATATCCTGTATTGAGATATAAGGGCTGAGAATGGAGTATTACGCGTGAAAAACTATTTTTAATTAATTACTCGCAAAATATAATGATTATTGTAAGAGTATTGAATTTAGCCCTTGACTACTCTTTTAAGTCACTCAGTCAATCAAACATTGATCATATTTCCTATAAAAAAAGAATATAATTACGTGAAGAAATGAAAAAATGCGAATTTTAGGGGTAACTTGAAGTAAAAAAATATATATATTCATACTTCGACTGTGACCCTTATACCTATGATGCAGTTTTATCATTTCTAATACACGTTATTTGTAGGAACGTCATTTTTTTGTACACACGGCTACACGTCAGGTACCACAAATGTCAAATTTCTCCAGTTGATGTTAATTCTACTAATAGATAGATAAAATGATATCAAAGCGAATCATGTTTATATGTATAACCTGACGTGCTGTTTATTGTACAAAACCAGTTGAAAGTTAGATGCAAAATATATACATATACATATTTAATCGTTATAACTTAAAAATTTATCTAAGAACATTACCGACGAATAATCGTGAACGTATAAAAAACATATCTGATTGGAGTATAAATATACTACTACGTGTCACTCAACGCTTGGGCAATTTTATTACCGATAAGCTATAATATTATTATCAGCACCATCGTGTAATCACTAAAAAGTCCATTCGAGAAACCGTATCTTAATAATACTATACTTATACTATATTATTATTTTAAATAATTCAAAGGCAATTCTTCAATTTGAATAAAAGTGGCGTGGCAATTCTATTGCACAAACAATATTAAATATAGGTTTCTGTCAAACTGCGTTCAATTGTGTAGTTAGCAGATGAAAACTTTAATTAGGTATGTACATGAAATCAAAACTTTTTAAATAAATACTTCAAAAATGTAGGCGTAGGTAGTTGACAGTTATATCAATGTCATAAACGATATAAATATTTATTATTATTGACTATTTACTTATTTAATATAATTTAAAAAGAATCGCATAGGAATATTCCTTTTACTTTACCAAGATCTTAATAAACAAACATTTTGGTAAAGAGAGATTCTTTATTAGACTCTATTTGACTGCATTCACGAATTTTACTTACAGATCACAGACAATATTAAAGTGCCGAATCCTAACGCAATCAAAATGCCAGTCGTTGAGTCAACTTCACCCATCAAAGGTGATTTTGCTCCAAGCATAGCTTTCAAACTGTCTCTTAAGTCTTCTGTTATATTTTCGTTGTCCAGCATATCCATAAGTCTCTGTCTCGCCTGTTTAATGTCTGCAGGGTTATGATCCTCCAAATCCATGTCCTCTAAGTGCTGGTCTCCAGAGTCTTCGGCCATAGTCGTTGTTTTGACACGTTGAGTTCACTCGCGCGGCGTACTGACAGTAATGACACCACGTGTCTTGAAGCGTGCGATACACGTATTTAAAATATTTGAGGTACAAATGACGAGATTTAGCGGTAAACACATGTATGTTTGCGTGGACGTCGTAAAAGATGATAAGTCCACGATTTTTATGTAATTATTTTATTGGTACTTACTATTTCAGATAATCTACTGACTAATAAATATGTAAGTCATTTCATTGATCGCATCGCATTATACTGAATTTATACACCTAAACATTCGCATGACTTTAATAATGTAATAATAATAACTAAAAGAATTTCAAGGAAAATTATCGCCTTACTATAAAGGATTTATAATTTGATCGATTCAAATATTGTTTTATAATTTTAGAAACGCGTAGTCTTGTGTTTTGGACCATGCCAGTATTTAACTTTATAAACACAAGTGTTTTTATTATTTATTGCGTACCTTATTTTTATTAAAATTACAGATATGGTTCAAATCTACGTAAGGTAATGAAAGCAGTTATGGACAATATAAGATTAAATTTGGCATTATCACTACATAGTATAAAAAAAGTCGCTTTCTCTGCCCCTAAATCTTTAAAACTACGCAACGGATTTTGATGCGGTTTTTTTCATAGATAGAGTGATTCAAAAGGTTTTTATGTATAATACAAGACCACGCGTGCGTAGCCGCTGGCGGAATCATACTATATTTCGAATGCTGTAACTGTTTTTAGATGCAATCAGGGTTAATTATACTATAAAACTAATGGAGAATCAATTTAATAATTGCTTAGTGTACTCAATATATTTTTCAGAAAACCGAAAACCTATTAGAACACCAGTGATTGACAGGCATCATCCAGTGCTTGGCAACCACTCATGGACACATGGACATCCAACCATGGACATGGTTAGTGGCATTATTTATTGGACCAATTATTCAATCGCAAATACCTAAATAGGTACAATAAGTTTAATTCTATATAAATAAGCAAGTAAACAATCTAAAAAATTAACGTCCACAAAAAATTCTATAGTAAGTGTGGAAATATTGTTGTACGTATATAACAGCTGAGTCTTACATACCTAACCCTTATAAATCATAATAAGTATTGGCTGTTAGGTCATAATCTTACAAAAAAATCACACTTAGATAAATAAAACAAACAAGAAAATAGCTCAAAACATAACTAAAATCTTTTTAAACTGAATCTTTTAACAATAAATCAATTATATTTGATCAATCTAGCATTCACAATGCTATACTGAACAATATTCTTAATGAAAAATGTTTCGAGTTTCCCTGCCACTCTGAGATGGGACTCGAACCACTAAGCTACACAGGACCTAACAGCACTGACGAATTTTTCAAGCACTTGTTACTTATTTCCTACTACAGGGCGTATTTTCAGCAATGTTCAGGCAATCTACTCAAACAGTTGAAGAAATATTTTTACAAATATTTAAACTTTTGTCCACTGCTGGACGTAGGCCTCTCCGAGCGCACGCCATCGAACTCTATCTTCGGCTACACTCATTCAATTTTGGCAGCTACATTGCGAAGAGCGGTCTCCACCCTAATGTTTGTTTGCCCCACCGATTATCGGTTCTCCGGCTAATGTGACCTGCCCATTGCCACTTCAGCTTGCTAATCTATTACTATGTCTATTACTTTTGTTCTATGATTATGACCTTATTTCGGAAGCAGTCTTTAAAAAACACTCTGAGCATAGCCCTCTCCATTTCTCGCTGAGTGACTTTCATTTTATGGACGAGTTCAACTGTTACTGGTCATGTTGCAGCTCCATATGACATAACCGGTAGTACACACTGATTGAAGACTTTCGTCTTTAGACTAGATAGACGTAAGTCGAGAGAAAGTGGCCAGAATTAATGAATAGAAGGGGTGTGTTTTTTCATTATGATAACGCTAGACCTCACACAACTTTTGCCACTCAAAATTGTCTACCTGTTTCGGTCTCTTCAGAATTCTTTAGGCAGTGTCAAGGTAACATCATGTGAGGACTGCCAAAACCGCTTGTTTTTATTTATTTATTTATTTAACACTTCATGTACATAATACATTGGCGGACTTAATGCCTTAGGCATTTTCTACCAGTCAACCAGATGGATGATGTGGAGATAAAAGGTGGTAGTGTGCACATTGTACAGGAGATATAAACAGAGGAAATAAGACCTATAACAAAATACATAAACTTACATAAACAATACATATATACTTTCATAACTACATATACTAATATAATATATAATTTATATATATATAAATAAATATATATAATATAATGTAGACGACTAACGGTGTAACGAATTAG